AGCTGAGTTTGGTACTTTTGTCTTTTGACCTTCACAACAGCTTTTTAAATGTCTGATTTGCTTTATTTGTTAACTATTTGGCTTTACCTGTGAGATTTTTTCCTTTCTCATATTTTCTTAGTTTGGGTTATGGCCTTTCCCTTTCTGCTTAAAGAAGAACCTTCAACACTTTTTATAAAGCTAGTTTAATGGTGATGAACTCTTTTGTTTGCTTGTCTAGAAAACATTATCTCTCCTTCAATTCTGAATGAAAACCTTGGACGGTAAACTATTCTAGGCTGTAAGTTTTTTATTTCAGCACTTTAAAAGACATCTTGCCACTCCCTTATGGCCTGTAATGTTGCTTCTGAGAAATCAGCCAATAGCCTTATGGGGTTTCCTTCATTTGTAACTTGTTTTTTTCTTGTTGCCTTCAAAATTGTCTCTTTATCTTTAACTTTTGCCATTTTAGTTACAATATGTCTTGGTGTGGGTCTCTCTGGATTAATTTTGTTTGAACTCTGTGCTTCCTGGACCTGGATGTGTTTACTTTCCCAGGTTAGAAAAGTTTTCTGCCATTATTTCTTCAAATAAAGTTTCCATTCCTTCTTTTTATCCTCCTTCTGGGATTCCTGTAATGTGAATGTTTGTGCACTTGATGTTGTCCCAGAGATCCCTTATATTGTCCTCATTTTTAAAAATTTTTTTCTTTTGGCTGTTATGATTACTTAATTTCCAATAGCCTTTTTATCCAGGTCACAGATCCATCCTCCTTTATTAGTTAATCTGTTGTTGATTCCTGCTAATGTATTTTTCATTTCTGTTACTGTATTCTTCAGCTCTGCTTGGTTCATTATACTTCCTAACTCTTGTGGAGTTCTCCTTAAGTTCCTCCATTCCACTCTCACATTTGGTGAGCATCCTTATACCCATTTCTTTAACTTCTTTATCAGGAAAATTATTTATCCCCTTTCATCAGGGCTTTTTTCCTGGGGATTTGTTGTTGTTGTTCCTTTATTTGAGAGATATGCTTCTGTCTTTTCCTTTTGTTTGACTTTCTATGCTTGTTTATATGAATTAGACAAAATAAGTGGCTTTGCACTGAAGTGACCTCTGTGTAGGCTGTATGTGCTGGATGGTTTTGGCAGGCTGATCGGAACTGAGCCGGTGTCCAGGGTGCTGGCCTACCAAGCTGTAGTGGCTCTGGGATGGAAGGATAGGTATATGTAGTAATGCCGTTGATCTTGTCTGCTTCTTTTATTCGGAGCCAAAATGGGCTTGGGTGGTGTGGCAAACTTACAGGTAGGCCAGAGCACCTGGACAGAGCTCCTGCCTGCTCTACCAAGGTGGAGGGAGATGTAAATAGTAGCGCTCACCGGCACCCCCGACCCTGGGAATTCCAGCAGTTCCCAGAGAGTTTCTGCAGCATCCCAGCCTTCTCTATGTGGTCTCCATGTCTGTTGTACAGAAAGCAGTCTTTGTGGACAAGACCTCTGTGCAGGCAGTGTGTGCTGGGAAGTTTTGGCAAGGTGATGGAAGCTGGGCAGGGAGGCCAGGTACATGTGGTAAGACCCTGTTTATGCTGCTTGCTCCCTTTGTTCAGAGCTGAAGTGGGCTGTGGGCAATGTGGTTGGGAAAGTGCTGCAGCGATCTTGCAGGTTGGCCAAAGCACCCAGATACAGTTCCTACCCAACTTATCAATGTGGAGGGGGACATAAACAATAGCATTTGCCAGAATCTTCAATCCCAGAGAGTTCCTGCAGTTTCCCAGCCTTCTCTATTTGTTGTTTTTTCGTTTGTTGTTCAATCAGCACTCAGTTACTCTCTTGGGAGTAACTGCTCTCTCCGTATGTGTGTATTTCAGCGTGCTTGTGGGAGAGGGAGAATTCAGTATCCTCCTATGTTCCCACCATCTTGGACTTCTTCAGACATTGATTTTTAAAAGACTGAAAGTATGTTATATACTGGAAACTCAAAACAAAGAAGGTACATAATATAGAGAGAAAAATAAAACATGGACTAAAATGTATTTTCTATGTTCCACAAGGAAGAAAGCAGATGTGTTAGATAAAAAAAAAATTATTTTATAAAATAATAATTACCCCCTTCAATAGAATGAGAAGCCAAGCCATAATCTGGAAAAAGTATTTGCAAAAGACACATCTGATAAAAGTCTGTTATCCGAGATATACAAAGAACTCTTAAAACTTGACAATAAGAAAACAAATGATGGCATTAAAAAATGAGCAAAAGCTCTAGACAGACATCTCACCAAAGAAGATATACAGATGACAAAAAAGCATAAGACAAAAATGTTCAACATATGTCATTAAGGAATAGCAAATTAAAACAACGAGATATACTACACACCTATTAGAATGATCAAAATCCAAAATGCTGACAACGTCAAATGCTGGCAGGGGTGCAGCAATGGGAACTCTCCCAACGCTCTCGGAATACATAACGGTAGTCACTTTGGAAAACAGTTTGGCAGTTTCTTATAAAACTAGACATATTCTTACCATATAATCCAGTAGTTGTGCTCCTTGGTATTTATCCGAATAAGCTGAAATTTATGTCCATACAAACTTATGCGCATGGATGTCCATAGCAGCTTTATTCATAATTGCCAAGACCTGAGAGCAATCAAGATGTCCTTCAGTAGGTGAATGGATAAATTAAGTGTGATACATCTGGACAATGGAGTATTATTCAGTGCTAAAAACAAATGAGCTATCAAGACATGAAAAGACATGGAAGAACCTAAAGTGCATATTACAAAGTGAAAGAAGCCTAACTGAAAGGGCTGTATACTGCATGATTCTAACTATATAGTGGAAAAGGCACAACTATGAAGACAGTAAAAAGATCAGTGGTTGCCAGGGACTAGGAGGAGGGAGATTTTTAAGGCAATGAAACTATTAAGTATGATAACTATTACGATGGGTACGTACACATATAATCAAAAAATAAAACGTGCAGTACCAAGAGTGAACTCTAATGTAAACTATGAACTCTGGGTGATAAAATGTGCCGATGTAGGTTCATTCACTGTTAAAAACTTACCACTCAGGTGTGGGATGTTGATAGTGGAGGGAGATTGCATGTGTGGGGGCATGGGGTGTACAGAAACTCTGTATTTTTTTTTTTTTTGGCTCAAATTTTCTGTGAGCCTAAAACTGCTCTAAAAACTAAAGTTTACTTAAAATAAATAAATAAATAAATAAACTATATCCTGATGATGAAATCGACAGTAACAGGAGGGTTCCCTGGATTCAAAATGGCCACTTTACATGATGAGACTGAGACTAGAAGAATCTCACTGCAGCAACATCTGAGACATCAGGATTTCTCCACACAATCTACTAAAACCAACCTGTGAGAGAGTAGTTGGTTTTCCTCTTGCCTGGTTAGTTTAGTGAACACAGGGCAGACCAGAGGGATCTGGGTTGAACCCCAGCTCTGACACTTCCTGACTATGATTCAGGATATGTCACTTCAACAAGCTGAGTTGTTTTCCTTATATGTGAAGACTGAATGAGATCACATATGTGGAAGAGTTCTGTAAACTGTTGACACACAGATATATAAATAATTCAGCAGCACCAAACCCCTGGTTTTGCAAAAGCACTGATGTAAAGGCCCATATCCCATGCATACAAGACAACCAGCAGGGGCAGGCAATCTGAGAGAAAAAGTCATAATCCCACAGCTCTGCTATAATGTAAGCCACTGTGGTCAAGTTTTCTGTTATTTGCTGCTGAACATACTCTCTAATACAACAAAAGAGAGTAAAAATAATATCTATTCTATTTTATGATGTGTACAAACACTGATTCTAAAGTCTGAACAAAACCCCTAATCACAGAGTTGCTCTAACATTCTAATGAACACATGCGCTATTTAGCCCATTTCCCATCTGCCTCAAGAATACTCGCCAGTGGCGGCCCTTGCAGCTGCAGCGTTTACCCCCAAGATAACTTGCAGATTACAGTCCTATCCTTACCCCCAAAGTTTGCCATGAAATATCTTGCTTCAAAGTTTGCCATGAAATATCTTATTTTTGCTTTGCTCTAGTATATCGATAGTCTTTGGAAACAAATGATATCATTCTATTTATAGCATTCTGTTTTTAGTAGTGGTATTTCCATTTACAAAATATAGTAATTCTCAAATGCTGAAAATGTCAAATCCTAGAAAACGGAGCATTCCTACACGTAACATTACATTAACACTGGCAACAAGCTGCACTTTTTTTCTAAATGAGAAAAGGGTTAAAATACTAAAAATGTCATCAAATAGTTTGTACAAGCCCATTCAGACCAAAATAGAGTCATACTCAATAGGTATGGGAGGCTATTAAAATATAGTTAAAAAACAACTATACATATTATATACTAGAAAATGAGTGGCATTAGAGTAGTGATCATGTCCCACTCTATATTACTGATGTGCTGGCCACACAGATTGCTAACAATAAATACTTGTTAAATGAATTTTAAAAAGTCTATCTACAAAGAAAAAAAAAATATTTAGTGGAAGATATTCCCAAAGAGTATGTTAGTTTGAAATAGAAATTCCTATCTAAAATTTCCAAAAAACCAAACTATTATTCTATATTTAATAAAGATGGTAACTATGAATTGTATACTTAAAAATGGATAAAATGGAAAAATTTTTACTACGTATATTTCACAATAAAAAAGATTCTTCAAAATAAACAGATTAAAATTCTATGGAAAACGCTGAATTAGCATTATAAAAAATAGCTGACAATTAAAATAAAAAATTATACAGAGGAAATTATGAAATAAAACAAGCAGCCCTTCACGGCTACAGCTCCTTCTACTAAGCCTCCCTCCCCGGCCCACTCTGAGGCCCTTCTCCAGGTCCTCCACTGCTCTAAGGCCCCTCCAACTTCAGGGCCTGTACACATGTTCCTCCCTCCCTCAGTGTACAGTGCAGGGCCCCACTGACGGCTCTATACAGTGAGGACTTGATGGAGAGATTTCTTTTTTTAAAAAAATGTGGTATTCTTCATCAATTTGTATGTCATCCTTATGCAGGGGCCATGCTAATCTTCTAGGCACGGTTTCAATTTTAGTGTATGTGCTGCCGAAAAGAGTACTGGATCTCTTTTTATTTGGAAATGGACTCACAATTTTATTCTTGGTGCTTGGCATTGTGCCTGACACAGCTGAAACACAACTATTTGTCGAATAAACTAATGAATGAATAATAGGAAAAACTATCATATCAAATTGGGTTAAAAAATGTTAAAACTTATTAGTGTTTTAATAGCAAACAATATTGAGTTAGTTATAAAGACTCAAGTGCTCCTACAACTAATGACATGTTTAGTATTAGGTCAGAAATAGATTTTTCCTTTCTTGAATTGGCCATAAAAATTATAGAATGTTTCTTTATAGAAACAGAAAACAGTAACCAGTTTCATATGGCAAAAGGAGTGAGTGAGATTTCAACAAATAGCAACTATTTCTCCCAATATATTCAATTACAGACATAGAATGACTGCATACTAGTGACGAAAACAGACCTAAAGATCTAGGACACTAAAAATCAGAAATAAACATAATGAATTACTTTTAGCATTTCATTGTGGAGAGTTTCCAACATACACAAAACTAGAGAAGTATCATTTCCCCAAAGGGGAGATACAGACAGCAAATAATGTTCCTAACCATTAGCCATCAGAAATGCAAATTAAAACCACAATTATATAGCTCCACATATCCATCAGAATGGCTAAAATATAGTGACACTACCAAATGTGAGGATGCAGAAAACTTATGATAATTTAAAATGATGCTGCCATTCTAGACAACAGTTTGACTATTTCTTATATGCAACCATAAAACCCAGTAATTGTTCTACTAGGCATTTACCCCAGAAAAATGAAGACGTATGTTTATGTAAAAACCTGTACACTTTTATATCAGCTTTATTCATAATAGCTGATAACTGAAAACAACCCTGAAGTCCTACAACAAATTAATGATTAAACAAATTGTGTTACAGCCATATCACTGAATACTGCACAGCAATAAAAAAGGAATGAATTATTGATACATGCAAAAACCTGGGTTAATTTCCAGAGAATTATGCTAAGTGAAAAAAGCCAATCCCAAGAGGTTACATATTGTATGATTCCATTCCTATAACATTCTTGAAATGACAAAATTATAGAAATGGAGCAGAGATTAGATTAGTGGCTGCCAGAGGTTAAGGAGGGGTGGGGATGAGAGAGAAGTAGGTGTGGTCACAGAAGGGCAATGTGAGGGATCCTTGTAGCAATGAGAACATTCTGTAGCTTACCTGTTATCAATGCCAATATCCTGGTTGTGATATTGTACTAAAATTCTGCAAGATATTACCACTGGGAGAAAATGGATAAAGGGTACACAGAATCTCTCTGTATTATTTCTTACAACAGTAGGTATGCGAATCTATAATTATCTCAAAAACCTTAATTTGAAAAATCTTAGAAAAAGTAATATTATATTCCCATGCTTGCTAGAAAGAAGATATATACATAAAAATACAACTTCCACTATGAAATATTATTTCATAATAACAATAACCAAAGATAGAAACAAAGTAGCTAAATATAGACTTGGATCATAATCAATAGATGCAAAGATCAATGGAAATATTTTAAAAAGAATCTGATACCGACACGAAAGCAACAAAAACACAAAGCTTTCTACCTATCACAGGTTCTTCTTGGAATACTTTACATTAAAAACCAGAAAAGGAAGTTAAAATATCGAAAGCGGCATCAACAGCAAAATGCAGCTAGCTCCTTGGTAGCAAGGGCCCAGGGGAGCATAGCACTCGCAAAGTTGACTGCTTTTTAAAAGCCAACTTTGTAACATGGCAATTACAAACAGAATGAATAAAATTATAAGGAATACGAATCTTACAATGACATTTCACAATAACAAGTGAAAGCTCAGAGAAGAAAAGTGGTATTAAAAACATTCATGCCTCAAAAGTAAATATCTTTGAAGAGAACAGGATACTTCTTCCTTAAAACAATGTTTAAAAAGTTAAAAGATAAATGATATACAAGGAAATATCTAATATAATAAATAAAAAAGATAAAATTAAAAAAAGAAGATAATATAAACATTCTATAATATGGGGAACCCAAACCAAACAGCAAAAAAGCAATTAGTCATAAAGAATACTAGAACCATGCACATTTGGGAAACTTTTGAAATTTGAAGTCAAGTTTATTTATAATGCTACAACTTGAAAAAATAATCTGAAGCAGTTTATTAAAAAGACATATATAGCGGGTATAAGAAAATACAAAAGCTCAAAGGGGTGAGTTGAATCCATAACTGCAGGTCCAAGTTTCTCAACACTGGCATGATTTCTCAACACTGGCATGATTTCTCAACAATGGCATGATTTCTCAACAATGCTTTGTCACAGGTGGCTGTTTTATGCAATCAGGATGTTTAGCAGCAGCCCTGGCTTTGACCTGCTAGATACCAATAACAACATCCCTCCTTCTCCAGTTCTGACAATCAAAAATGTCTCCAAACCTGCCAAATGTCCTCTGAAGGGCAAAACTGCTGCCTGTTGCGAATCACTGACCTAAGCTAGAAGAGTTGCTGCAACTGGGATTAGCTTGCATAACTTTTAAGTTAAAAATACTAAAAGTTATGAAAAATGTGTTTTGATTGAAAAAATCGGTTTCAATTTTACAAATGTTATGTTTCACTTCAAAAATCTATACTTCACAAAGTCACTTTCAAGTACTCCAATTAAAGTACACAGAAACAAAACAAAGAAACAAGGCCAAGGAAGGAAATTCCAACGGGTACTGTGGGAGAGGTACCAGCCTAGCCTGACCTTCCCTTTACTGCCTCTGTTGTCCCTACAGACACACACACTCTCTCTGCCCCAACAATCCAAGGGCTTAGAGGTCCTGTTCAGTCCCTGTTGCTAGGACCCCACCATGGTTTGGCAAAGTAGACCTGCCCCACCTTTTCTTTTTTGTTATTGTGACAATGCATGCATAACATAAAATTTACTGTTTTAACCAGTTTTATATGTAAGTTCAGTGGCATTAAAAATGTTCACATTGTTGTGCATCCATCCCCACAACTTTTTCATCTTCTCAAACTGAAATTCCGAACCATTAACTTTTGATTTCCTATTCCCCTCTCCCTCCAACCCTGATTCTATTTCCTATCTGTATAAATTTGACTATTTTAGGTATCTCAGAGTAGTGGATCATATAGTAGCTGTCCTTTGTGACAGGTGTATTTCATTTAGCATAATGCCTTCAAGGTCCATCCATGTTGTAACATGTCAGAATTTTCTTCCTTTTTAAGGCTGAATAATATTCCACTGTGTGTGCATACCACATTTTCTTTATCTATTCATCCTTCAGTGGATGCTTGGGTTGCCTTTATCTTTTGCCAATTGTGAATACCGCTATGAACATGAATGCATAAATATCTGTTTAAATCCCTGCTTTCAATTTTTCTGAATACATTCCAAGAAGTAGAATTAATGGATCATATGGTAATTCTATTTCCTGGCCCACCTATGAATCTCTCTTTTAACTTTCTCCCCTCAATCAAAACATAATCATCATCTGTCTTATTCTGTGAAAAGCTGCTGTCAGAAAGCTGTCACTTGGAAAGCATCTAATCATGACAATGTATTAATAGTTGACAAGGCTTAATATATTACCCCTGTAAGGGACATCTGTATTTTAATAGAGGAACATCTTAAGAAAAAGGAGTGACTTCATCCAATGGTGGCTTTTCAAAGCAGCAACAGGCTCGGGGGTGGGATGAGGCATATCCAAAGCACGACCTCCCTGGAACTCTCAATACACTATTTCCAGTTTTCCCTTTTCTCACTCCCAAAATGTAGACTCCTCCCTCTTGCCTGTCCCAGGTTCTATCCTATTTTCTGCTGTATTTAATCTGCTAACAAGCAACAGCCTACTATAGACCCTCTCAACAATCCTCCCAGGTGATTCCTCTCACCAGGTGGTGTACTTGGTGCTGGGGAAGTCCCAAATAGAATCTCCTTTCTCTCTTAGGCCTGTTTCTCTCCCTAGGTTTCAAGTGTCTTTCAATGACTCTGCAGTCTTTCCATATTCAAGGGTTTGGAGCATTTCAGACTTGTTTATACCTTTATCAAGTCCCACTTACTCTGCATCCAGAACAGCTCTTCCTAGTGTCCTCTTTTCCACTCTACTCCATTAGACTAATATATTCAGGCCCTGCCCATTACCTCCCAGGTCCCACTGCACTCTATCTTACTGCATCAGTCCATTCCTCCACCTGCAGTCTGCACTTAACAGTGTGCCAAGGCTCTCCACTGCCTACAGAATGAAATTATAATTCCTCATCTTAACTCTCAAAACTGTGACTCCAAATCACTTTTCTAGCTTTACCTCCTACTGCTCCCCTTAATGCACTCTTGTCAAACTGAATCAAGTGCTGTGGCTGAACACAGCCTGAAATACTTCACCTGTGCCTTTGTGCACCCTAGTTCCTCTACTGAGATGCCTCCACAATTCTCCCCAAAACACTTTTCCTCTGAACACCCACTGCACTTTATCTGTACCATTGCCACAGCACATCTCAATTTTAAGCTGTCTCTAAGAACCTTTGCTTTTAACAGCTATAAAAACTGTCTTCTTCACCACTGTGCTCATCCTTTCTGGCCATCATCCTGAGGGTTGGGGTACCTTTGCTCCCTGGTACCCTTGCTCCAGGTACCCCAACTCCCCAGACTTTCGTTCAGTGTTTGGAATGCAGTTCTTTTTGGCCTCATGGTTGTTACACGTGCTGAACTACTGGCTGGAACATCCCCTCAACACATACTTAATTGCTCATCCTCCTTCAGAGTTCATCAGTGCCTATAAAGAGCCATCCTTGATGCATTTCCCTTTTATAGCCTCCTACTGCTTACCACAGTTTGTATTTGTAAAAATACATTTATTTGATTATTAAATTTATTACTTATTTTGTTTTTATTTTTATTAAACTTATCTAATTATTTGCTTTTCACCCCATACCTAGAGGGCAATGACTGTGCCTGTACTGTTCACTATTTTATTTCCAGTGCCCA